GTGTATTGATTCATTCATTAACTATTTACTGAGTGCCTGCCATGTGCCAGGCACTGTATAGATAGATACCAGGAATGTCAAGATGAAAAACTGAAGTCCTTCCCCTTCTTTTTTTTTTTAAGCTTTCATAAGTACTGTTTAGAAAGCATCAAACAGTGTATCTGATTGTTTTCTTTGCCTGGATCCTCCCTTCAAAATCTGCATTTGAACATTTTCTCTCCAGAGACGTGTGGCATTAAACTCAGTTCTCTGTTGATAACATATTGGCACTTGAGCCTCTGTGTATTTCTCTGTGTATTTTCTTGCCAGCACAAGTATAGTTATGGCCCAGCAGCTGCAGCGGCATTTAGCTTAAGAGCAAGAGTGAAGTCCTCTGACTACCCAAGTAGTTGGATATCTAGGGCATCTGGACTCCCTTCAGGTCCTTTTGGTAAAAGTACAGAGACCTGGCATTCCAATTCACATCATTATCTAAAGCTTCTTCCTTCCTCCCTCCCTTCCTTCCTTCCTTCCTTCCTTCCTTCCTTCCTTCCTTCCTTCCTTCCTTCCCCTTCAGGTCCTTTTGGTAAAAGTAAGTACAGAGGGCTGGCCGAGTGGCTCAGTGGGCTAAGAGGGTGAGCTCAGAGCAACAAGGTTGCCTGTTCAATTCCCACATGGGCCAGTGAGCTGCACCCGAGCTGAGCTGCCAACAGGTGGCAGGATGGCTCAGCTGGTGAGAGCACATGCCCCTAACTGCAGAATGCTGGGCTGTGCCCCCCCACCCTTTGTACCCCCCACCCCTTGAGCTGAGCTCAAACTGCTGATGGGCAGCCGGATGGTGACAGGACTTGGAGCTGAGCTAGCTGCGCCCTCCACAACTAAGATTGAAGGACAACAACTTGGCTATTCCCCTCCCCAAGTCCCCAATAAAATCTTTAAAAAAAAAAGTAAGTACAGAGACCTGGCATTCCAATTCAAACCATTATCTAAAGCTCACACTTTCTTTTCTTTCTTTCATTCTCTCTCTGTCTCTGTCTCTCTCTCTCTCATTCTTTCTTCTTCTTCTTCTTCTTCTTCTTCTTCTTCTTCTTCTTCTTCTTCTTCTTCTTCTTCATCATCATCATCATCTTCTTCTTCTTCTCCTTCTCCTCCTCCCCCTCCCCTCCCCCTTCCCCTTCCTTTCTGCTTTCTTCATCTTCTTTTTAAACTATGAAAATTACTAAAATGCTAGGAGTTTGGTTAGGGGTGAATAGGGAAGTTTGGAATGTATTTAATCCTGTGCTCAGTGTTGTTGGTAATATTAGAAGAGCAGCAGAGCCATGAATTCAGTCATGCTTTTGGCTAAAACAGCCTACCCTGACTTAAGCGCTCCTCACATGAAAAAAGACCCAAGGCTTTAGCTGACAGTAAATGCAACCTGAGCCAGTGATGTGACCTGGCTGCCAAAACAAGCAAATGTGATCTGAACCAGCATTAATAGAAGGCTGGTGGCTGAGACAAGTAAGGTAATAGTCCCAGAGTATACTCTACAGTGGTCAGGTCACACCTGGAGGATGGTGTTTCCTCCTGGGCACCGCATTTTAAGAGTGATGTTGACAAGTTGGAGTATATCCAAGTTGGGCAACAGGATGATGAATAGCCTCGAAACTACATCCTTTGAGGAACACTTGGAGGAACTAGGGTAGTTTACCCTGGAAACTAGAAGGCATGAGGATGTGGGATAACCATTTTCAAATATTCACAGGGCTATCATATAGAAGACTTGGACTCTTCTGTGTAATCTCAGCAAGCACAACTTAGACCAATGGGTTTATATTACAAAGCAGCTGATCTTGTCTCCCTAAAAGGAAGAATTTTCTAGCCCTTACGAACATCCCCAAAATAGAAGCTTTGCAAGTTAGTGACTTTACCGTAATAAGGGTCTTAAGATGGTGGCTGGCTGACCGAAGATTCATGAATCGGATGCGCAATTTGGAGAGATGACCTGATCCAAGCTCCTTTCAGATTCAAAGGTTCCAATGATAGAACCTTGTGAAGGAAGGAAGCATTAGTACTCGTCCTCTCAGATCTCCTACAAGCGTTAACCACAGAAATTATCTTAACATTGATGCTAAGGTCAAATAGCAAAGTTATGACGGTAGAAGGCATAAAAGCTTTAGAAACTTTTCTGTTTTACCTAGTGCTCCTGGATTTTGTTTGAGTAGTAGTGTTTGTTTGTATTTTTTTCCAAAGCAGAGTGAATGATTTTTTTCCTCATTTTTAAGATTCTTTAGAGCCCTGGTGTGCTTTGTTTCTCATTAACCTTATGGTCCTCTTAATATGTTGTTTTTAGGATACTACATTTTGATAAGATCACTCTTAATTCAAAATTATAAAGCAGCATTTCAGGGAATAGCAGTCTGTGTCTACATGTCAAACAACCAGTGCTGTGGAACAACTGGTGTTTAAGGCTCATTAATCATTATAATGAGGTAGCCTCCAGTAAAATGTTTTCATTGAGATAGTTTGGCTCTTTCCAACTATTGGTGAGGTAAGTAGGCTGGGAATGGTCATTCCTATTTTACCAATGCAGAAACCAAGTCTTGGAGCAGCTCGCCTACCATGATTATGGGTAGAGTTGGCTCTAGAATCCAAAACTTCTGACTTCTAGTCCAGTTTTCTTTTTTTTCTTAAAGATTTTTTTTTT